CGGGGGCGGGGCTCCCGGAGGGCCGGGCGGTGGCTCAGGGCAGCAGGCGCTGCACTCCCGCGAGGGCTGTTGTGCGGGCGCTCGGGGTGAACACGCGGGCGCCCGCCGCCTTTCGGCCCGGGGCGGGGGGCCGAGACCTGGCCCGCGCTCCTCAGGGGGAAAGGGAGACTCAGCTGTGGTGCAGGCTGAGTCCGGGAGCGGCCGTCTGCACAGAGACGTGGCCATGGACGTGCAATAGCTACATGCAAGGCCCACTGCAGAGCCAGCTTGAAAGCCAAACGCCTTCCCTCCATCTTTGCAACCATATCACTGAGCCCCAGGCCAGTCTGGGGCTTCCAGAGTGGCTGCTCTGAGCATCTCTTAGGCTGCCCCGTGACACAACCGATTCATCTGCTAAAGGGGGAGGTTCTGTGGGCCCACGGCAGCATCCTGCCCTGGGGGAATGGAGCCGCGCTGGCTTGTGCTGAGTTCATGCACAACTGTCGGCATCGGAATTTGCTGCTCTTCAAGGGCAGGTCAAGGATGGAACGGGAATGGATTTTCCTCCCTGGCAGAGGAATATCCAGTTACCAGATACTCGGATACCAAGGCAAACAAGGACCTTGCTCCCCAGAGCTGTCAACTTGGAAACCTCTCTACACCCATACATCTTTTTAAAAGACTGTGAGCTCAGGAAACCAAGCACTGTTCATCTAAATCCAAGGGATAAATGCCATTGGCCTTCCCACTGTATCCCAGCCAGAAAAAAGAGCAGTGGGAGAAAAAATGCCTGGGGATATTTTTACGTCAGCCATTTCCAGAACATTGCCCCAGCCCACCACTGCGCTCCTTCACAGCGAATGGGGAAGCAGATATTTTCCCCACCATTGCAAATTTTCCCGTTGACGTCTTTAAAGTGCAAGTTGCTATGGAAACCATTTTGTCTGTGTCCCATGTTCTCACCATGTACTCAGTAGGAAATGCTGAAGCAAAATGGCCTTTCTGTAAGCGTGCAGGGTACAGAGGGAGAGAAGCCTTGCTGCAAGGAGCCTCTCCAGGTAAGACCCCACTCTGCAGAGCGGTCTCTGAGGTGTGTTTGCCCAGTGGAGAGAACAGATGAAGCCCATTGCAGTTATGAGAATTATAGGAAATGAAAATAGGCTCTGCCCAGTTCAACCCCTACACTGCTTTGTGTGGAAATATGTATAAATTCCAGCTGCTCTCTGATCAAAGCACCTTGATCAAAGCAAAACCAGCATAAGAAAGCCAGGGATTCATGTTTTACCCTTTTCATCACTGCCATGTTGTTTCTAAACTCCAAAGCATGAAAACAACAGGCTTGTGGCATGCTGGACAGCTCTTTCTATCTTGTGTGCCCTGCTAGATCCAGCTCAGATGCATTCCACCTTTCCGACTAGGAAAACAGTGCTATAAAGCAAAGGCAATCGCACCCAGTTTGCTGCATATCTGGCTTACATGCATTTGGTCACATTCTTCTTCTTTGTCTATGCAGGGCACGTGATATAAGCTCATTGTGATGTCAGTTATAAATCAAAATGTTGATTTGGTTGAACAAAAGAATAGAAAATAGTCATTTTAGTGAAGGCTGTAAAAACAGGGTATAAAACTAAGGTGATACCTTATTCCTCACCAGGACAGCTGAGGATGCCCAAGGACCCCATGCAGCAGCACTGACAAGTCAGCTCAGACAGTCCAGAAACACCGAAGGCAGAATAATAAAGGAGGTAGCTTAGCAAAAGGAACAGCCAGTGAGGAAAAGGCAAACCTAAGAAATATCTTCTAGCCTTCTCTATTGTTAATGTAAAATGTCAAGTCCTATTAGCATATTGAGTCAACTGCTGTAAAAGGAAGGGGACCTGTCTTCAAGGCTTCTTGTAAGCTGAGCATGAGTCCAGGATGGACATACCTGGGGAATGGAGCCTGCAGTCTATCTCTGCTCTTTGACCAGTTCTTTTTTATGCCTGAAGGTACTTATCTTCCCAGCAGCATTGCAGAGATTTGACAAATGCCTGCAGCCTTCCGAAGCCATGTCTCCAGCTGGGATACACTTTTCCTGCATCAGAGAGTGGTGAGATCACAAAGGGCTGCAAGAAGGCTCACCCAGTGCAGACTGTGTCACCGCTAGACACTGTGTCCTCAAGCTCTTTGATCATTAGAAGACACCTGGGTGTGTATGGAGTTTCCCCAGTGTGATACTTGTGTAAACAGAAACCACAGTCACTTCCATGATCTGGTTATTCTTGTGGGAACACTGTGTGATGAGTGGTATGTCTTCCTTCCTGCCTCAGTCACCACATTGCCTCTTAAGGGCAAGATGTTTGTTGTCTGTGTGGCTGCCTGTTTGCCTACCACAGAAATCTTCTTAGCACTGACTTTCAGTGGAGCTAAAAACACTTATAGTTTCATAGTTGGTAGGGTTTAGAAGGGACCTGAGCAGATCATCAAGTCCTGCCATGGCAGGAAAAAGTACTGGGGTCAAACGACCCCGGCAAGGTGTTCGTCTAACCTCCTCTTAAAGACCCCCCAGGGTAGGAGCCAGCACCGCTTTGCTTGGAAGTTGGTTCCAGATCCTATCTGCCCTGACTGTGAAGTAGCGCCTCCTGATGTCTAGTCTGAATCTAACCTCTGCCAGCTTGTGACCGTTATTTCTAGTCACTCCTGGTAGTGCTCGGGGGAACAGGGACTCCCCCAATGCCTGCTGGTCCCCTCTGACTAGTTTGTAACAGGCCACTAGATCCCCCCTCAGCCTTCTCTTGTGTCCACATCCCTCCTGAAGTGCGGCGCCCAGAACTGGATGCAGTACTCCAACTGCGGCCTGACCAGTGCTGCACAGAGGGGGAGGATCACCTCCTTGGACCTGCTTGAGATGCATCTGTGGATGCAAGACAAGGTACAGTTGGCCTTCCTGACCGTGTCCCCACACTGTTGGCCCATATTCATTTTGGCATCAATAATGATTCCAAGATCCTTTTCTGCCTCTGCACTGACGAGAAGGGAGTTCCCCAGCCTGTAGGTCTGCTGCTGGTTCTTCCTCCCCAGATGCAGCACCTTGCACTTGTCAGTGTTGAAACCCATCCTGTCCTCATCTGCCCACCCCTGTAGCCTGTCTAGGTCCAATTGCAGCCTATTCCTCCCTTCTAGTGTGCCCACATCCCCCCACATCTTAGTGACGTCAGCAAATTTGAATAGGGTGCTTTTTACCCCCTCGTCCAAGTCACTGATGAAGACGTTGAACAGCGCAGGTCCGAGGACCAAGCCCTGGGGGACCCCACTGCCCACATCCCTCCAGGTCAAAAATGACCTGTCCACCACCACTCTCTGGGTGCGGCCCACCAGCCAGTTAGTGACCCATTTGACTGTGTAGGTGTCGACGCCACAGTTCCCTAGTTTTTTAATGAGAATGGGGTGAGAGACTGTGTTGAAGGCCTTCCTGAAGTCCAGAAAGACTACGTCCACTGCTACCCCTGCATCTAAGGATTTTGTGACCTGGTCGTAGAAGGCCACCAGGTTGGTCTGACAGGACCTGCCTCTAATGAACCCGTGTTGGTTGCCCCTAAGCATAATCTCCGCTGCTGGCCCCTCGTGGACATGCGCCAGGATAATTTTCTCAAAAAGCTTACGTAGCATTGAGGTAAGACTAGCTGGCCTATAGTTTCCTGGGTCCTCCTTCCTTTTTTGAAAATGGGAACCACATTGGCCCTTTTCCAGTCCTCTGGCCCCACACCAGAGCACCACGAGTGCTGTAAAGCCGTGTCAGGGGTCCCGCAATGACCTCTGCTAATTCCCTCAGCACTCTGGGGTGGAGGTCGTCTGGACCAGCTGATTTAAATATGTCCAGTCCCGCCAGAAGTTCCCTGACTAGATCCTCACTGACCCTGGGCCTGGGTGCGCCTCTCCCGGGGTCTGAGGGGGTCCCGGCAGATGGGCTGATCTTTCCCTGCTCAGGAAAATGGAGGCAAAGAAATCGTTAAATAGGTTAGCCTTGTTGTCTGGTGCGACAACCAGATTTCCTAGTGTGTCTTGCAGAGGCGTCCACGTTACCTGGTACCTTCTATTTTCCCCCTATGTATTTAAAGAAGGGCTTCTTGTTGTCCTTGATCCAGGTAGCTAGTCCCAATTCCATCTCCACCTTGGCCTTCCTGACCACCCCCCTGCAGCCTCGAGCAACCAAGGTATAGTGCTCCCTGGTGATGGCCCCTCCCTTCCATTGGGTGTACGCCTCCCTTTTAGGTAGGAGATGTTCCCATATGCTTTTGGTGAGCCATGGGGGCTTTTGCGCCCTCTTGCCCCCTTTGATCCATGTTGGGATTACCTCCCGTTGGGCTTAGAGGATTGTTTCCTTAAGGAACAACTACTCTTCTTGGACACCCAACTCCCCTCCCCTCCGGGACCTCAGTACTTCTCCAACTATTCTCCTTACCTCATTGAAATCTGCCCTCCTGAACTCCAGGGCTGCTGCCTTGCTGCAGGCTTTTGCCACCTTGCGCTAGATGGTGAATTCCAGCAGGTGATGATCGCTGTCGCCCAGGTGATCTTAACATATTGAAATGTAAGGAAAGGTGTCTACCAACGTGCAGTGTGATCCTACCCTTCCTGTTTGTCAAGCCTAGGATGTAGATGGTCTAGTTCAACAATTAAGGATAAAGCTCAGACCGGGAACTGGTAGAACTAGGAGGTGGGTGGTCCAAAAATGGCATATTCCCAAGGGTCAGGAGCCAAAGACAGGAACTGATGTACTAGTCAGGGACCAGGAGCCCGAGCCAACGGTCAGGATCCAATATGTCAGTCAGAAGTTAAAGACAGGATTTTGGTTACATGGGTTCTGACAAATTTCACTGCTTGTTTATATTGCCCAAAGTCCAAGTAGAAACCAGTTGCAGGTATTTCCCCCATTTAGCTCAAGCAGTTAAATCATCTAATGTAGAAAGCATTTCCAAACTGCCCATCCAGAACTGGGTTTTCTGGGGCATATTCCAAAGTGTCTATTGTTTGGAACCACACTGAGTTGTACACCTTTTTCCAAGGGAAGCACTTGTAAAATATGTTCTTCAGAGCTCCTGGACATTAGCAGTATAGGAGTTTGGAGTAGAGCGCAACAGAGGCATGACTCCAGGAACTGAAGGGAGTTTCTAGAATATGACAAAGGTATAGACCATCTCTTTGGGTTACCTGTTCCATACATTAGAACCCCCTTCCCTCCACACATGTATGCATCATGCCCCACATTTCTGCCCACATCAACGTGTCTGAAGTGATGAAAGTGGGCCAATCAATGGCAGACTTAAGAGGGCTGGTGTAGGTAGAAATGTGAATGGGAAAGTGAGCTTAGGGTGCCTCATGGTTGGAGAGAAGGGGGCTACAATTGTACAAATGTGTGATGATCAGGGCTTGACTGAGAGTCCTGACTGCATGAGCAAATTGGAAAGGTTGGATCTTGAACCAGTTGTGTAGAAGGATATGGCAAAATATAGGCACAGTCTGGACGTGTGAGTCAAAAGAATGGTGTGAGACAGAGATCAAGTCAAGCTCATGCGATTGAACGACAGGGAGGATGGTGAGGCTGTTGACTATGATAGTGAAATGAGGGAAGAAGAACTTAGGGAAGAGTCTGTTTGGGCTAATCTGAATTTTAGTGATGGCTGGGTCTCTACAAGATGTCAGGGACAGGCTGAGATTTTAGTTTGGATGGAGGGACACAGGTGTAGGCTATGGAGAGACTCATCACCTGTAGGGTCATCAGCATAGCAGTGACAGTTAAAGTTGCATTCAAACTGAGGTCAGGCAGAGAAAGCGCATGTGGGAGAAAAGAAGAGGGGGCTAAGGACAGAGCCCCGAGGTGGACACTGGCAGAGCAACACCCAGATCCCCAGGAGGGCAGGAAAGCATGAGGGACAGGGGTGAGGCTGTATCAGATCTGTTATGAATTCAGTCCAGCTGCTACCATTTTGCATTCTCTTCAGAATGGATGTGACTTCAAGCCTCCTACTGAAGGCACTTGGAGAGGAAGCAGGAGACAATTTTGGAATCCTTAAGCAAGGCTTATGCACTCCTTAAATGCTGGTGAGGGAGTGTGCTCACAGCAGCAATATGGCTATTCACTGTTTTACTTCTAGTCACTTGTAGTTGCTAAGCAGCAATGGCTTCATGCTCCTGCTTCTGTTTGGCACTGGCAGAAAAATGCAAAGATACCCTTCAAGGCAATGAGAATCCCCATGTTTGTTTTACATCCAAGCTGGGGTGGGATGAGATAGGATGGGTAGATTCTGGAATTCTCTACCATCCCCTAAATTACAGCCTGGCTACCTTCTATTTTGCAAGGGAGACCCTGGTCCCCATAGCACAGGGATCCAATAGGCTAGCAACCTCAAGGTTTGCTGTAAATCCCCAATTAGCACCCCAGCCACTTGCCTCAGAACTTGCAGGATAAGGTGGTGTCAAACCCACTGCAACACTCCTGGATCAGTACCAACTTTGTTCTTTTCCAATATGTCCAATGAAAAGAATGAAAATCTACTGCCACATGGACTCTAGGGCTGTTTAACTGGTCTTGAGCCTCAGACAGCAGTTCCCTTTATCTGTCTCCTTGCTGTTGGAACTGGAACTTGCTAGCCCTGAGAAACTACCTCCAAAAAAAATTTCTCATCAAGGAATGCATTGAACTATTTGCCTTCCTTTTCAAGAAGGAAGATGGCTTATTGCAGCTCGGTGTAGGCTAGTGGGCCCTAAATAGAATCAACACCTGGAATCAGTATATGTTGCACTTCATTAATGTGTTGCACTTGAGAGATTCCAGCTGGCAGAGATTTTCACCTTTGGCTTGCTTCAGCATTTTCCGAGTCAGGCCCAGCCTTGGACAACCATATCACTGGATTCTACATCAGTCCTGGTGATTGTAGCCCTATTAATTATGGTAACCATTTTACTCCTCGCTGTGGGGCCTCTGACAGCCAGGAGGTAGCCCAGTCTTCCTGGAGCATACCTTCTGGATCCATGAACTTGCATTCTGGCAGATCCAGGGCCATAATTCATTTCCAGCATGCATTCTTCAACTTCATTAAAGTAAATCTGCACATTTCTTCAACTTATCTCTTCCAGGTGGACAGTAAGACTGAGCAGGTAAATTGGATCTTGTAAAAATATCTCAAGGTGCTTTGTCATGAAAATGACTGAGTTTCCCTCCTGTCATTAACAAAATTCATGTACAAATAACTTAGATCACTAAATTTGCTGCTGGGAAGCATTGCTATGTAGTGAGCTTGGAGTGCCGATCCAATGGTTTCCTTCATGTCTTTCCTCACATCCCCACCCCTATGCCATTCCTGTAAACTGAAAATTATATTATTGGATTCAAGTATAGCTTGTGGGGGCACAGATTTCACCAAGGACCCTAGATAGCCTGGCAGTAAATGTAGAAGGGCAGGGGGACTTCTTCTGGAGAAACAACCTCCCTGACTTCAGGCTCCTGATCTCCAGGCAGCTGGTCAATGTAAAGATTGGGTGGGTAAATATATTTTTTGTCTGAGGGGAGGGGATATACAGGTGTGTGGGTGGCTATATAGTTCTCTTAGTGAAATATCCCTGAGTTTGTGGCCTCAGGTTACTTGCTCTGGGTAGCTACACTGCTACTCTGGCTTGCAGTCTTGAGGAAATCTGGTTCATCTGCCCATTCCCTGGAACCATTGACGTGTTCCAGCAGATACTCCTGCAGCTGCTCCTGGAGGTGCTGAGGGATGGTGGCTCTACTTCTCTCTTGTAGAATAAATGGCCATGCCACTGGCTAATCAAAGACCTTTGCTTGCAGCAGAGCAGTTAAGTGCCCCATCTATTGTTCTGCAACATCTCCTTTCTCTACACCTTGTCCATCCTCAGCAAGGAAACATCAGCCGCTACCACAGTAGCCTGAAGAGATTTATAGTATGCCTTGAAGAAGCATCTCTTCCTACTAATGTACTTGGAGGACAGTTGTAGGGGGGCCTGGATAACTATGTGAGTCCTATTACAGAGGACCCAAACCCTGTTATTAAGGGGCTGATAAACAGGAGAAAACAATGTGGCCCCTTTCAGAACCAAACTTTAGTGGCCCAGGCAAGGACTTATACACAGGAATGCTGCTACAGAACAAGGTAAGAGACAATCCTAGAACCTGTAAAGAGAATAACTCTGATCAAGGGAGAAATAAACAGAGGGATTATAGCAGTGGTGCTCCAGCTAATAGTGGGGATGGGGAAAGCTACCTAATCAGAGGCTGCACTGAAGCCAAGCTCTGGACTAAATGAGCTACAGACTGCTAAATGGTGCAGAGGTTGCTGATGGGAGAGAAACTGAATCCAGGTGTGGACCTGCATCTGCCAGAGATGGCCAGAAGCAAATGAGGCTAAAAAGGGATAACAGAAAACTCCTGTGATAGAAAGAAAATTTAGGGATTAGCTGGTTGGCAGGGGTGGAGCTGGGCCAGGATATAAACTGACTCCAGGAAATATACATACTGGTCCAAGGTGCTAGGGAGGAAAGGACTCTCTGAAGAGTGAGTAAGCTCTGGCTTAGGCAGAGGGGCTGTTATCAGGGGGCATAGAAGTCTCCCTCAGTGGGTGAGTGTACCCAGATGGGTTACAAATTTTTGCTAAGAGCTATTTCTATTCACCCAGAAGGGTATATTTTTTTTGGTTTGTCCTTAATGGCTCATGAGGATTAGAGTGTTTGGGTGGGAGTGTACTGAGTAACTACTGGTGGTTTGAGTGGCTGTAGTGGGTGCTTTGGAGGCCATGTAATGGGGTGCCTGAGCACTCTACAGCTTGAGTTCCTGAATGGGTCAGGAATGTGAAGATGGCTGAGGCCAGAGAAAGGAGGCTAAGGCTGTAGCAAAATTAGAAAAAATATAGATAAGGACATCAAAATGATGAGGATCCTAGATCAGTTGCTATACCAGGAAAAACCTAAAAGGCTAGGACTTGTCAGTTTTTGGAAAGGAGAAGGAAGGGGGTGGATATCATAGAAGCCTATAAAATCATGAAGGTTGTGAATAGGGAACTATTCACCAAGCCCCAGAACTAGGGGACACCTGCTGAAGTTGGTAGGTGACAGGTTTAAACCTAACAAGAGTACATTTTATGCAATGTGTAGATAATTTATGGAATTTGTTGCTACAGGAGGTGGTGAAGGCAGAGAGCAGAACCAGGCTTAAAAAGGGACAGGATAAACTAATGGCAGATGGATCTATTAATAGCTATTGAACAGAATGGTTGGAGACCTTTCCTCTGCCATCTCTAACCCAGTAATTGGTGGATGCCAGGGAAGGTATTGAATAGGGGATGGATCACTTTGGAGATATCCAGTCCAATGCTTTCCCCTATAGCACCCGCCACTGTCAGAGACTGGATATGGGGCTAGGTGAACCATTGGCCTGTGCCAGTACAGCACTTATGCTCTTAAGGCTGAGGAGGCTGAAGACAGAAGAGCTGGAGACCAAGTGGTCAGAAACTAGTATTTGAAACAGAAGGCTCAATGAACAAAGGCTGAGTAACAACAGTGAGGCATGGGTATGGTTATGGGGGAGACTGGAGGCAATGATTTGGGGCTAGTAGAACCACAATGGATGCCCCTAAGGCACAGTTAAGGCCAGCAGGCCATAACTGGTAACATTGGGTTATGGATTTACTACTCTAATAGGACAAGGACTTGGAGAACAATAGGGGCAGGGATGGTGAGAGGCAAATGGCCCAAGGTTAAAAAAGGCAGGGAGAAAGTTATGCTGAGAGGCAATTGGCCCAAGGTTAAAAAAGGCAGGGAGAAAGTGAGAGTAGCACCAAAAGGACTAGAGGCACCTTGGGAGAGTAGAAGAGGCTGGGGTAATTTCTCCATCAAGGAGTGCCATGGCCACCCCCTGAGGTGTACCTTGCTACAAGTCCCACCAGTGTAGTTTGATGTCCCCAACATGACTAATGCCATAAAATCGTCATCCATGTAGCTAGGTCCACAACTCTCCATTGAACAACATGTTTGATAGCCTTGCACACCTCCATGATATCAGCCCAGGCTACTGACTTAGTGACAACAAAACCTGGTTCCCAACTGAGTGTTGAGAGTCCATGGTGGCCAGCTTCTACAGCATGGTAGCCACCTGCTCATCAACAGAGAAGCTGATTTCCTCTTCAAATTGCTGCAGCACAACAGTGAATTCAGTGTGCAACTAGAAGATGGCTGTGCATGTGACTGGATTTTGAAAAGTGGGGTGCACATAGTGAGGTGCATCATCACATATGAAACAACACACGTTTCTGCAGGTAAAAGGAACTAGAAACTTTACTAAAATGGTAGGGGCCTAGGGATAATTTTCCAGTTGGATACAAAAACAAATATAACTCTATTGGAATGAGAACACTCTGCAAGGCTGTGAAATAGGAGTTGTATTACCAGGAGCAGCAGAATTGCAGCAGAAAGGCTAGCTCCATTAGTGGAACAGCAAGACTGTTAAAAAGGAAAGTGGGCTATTAACGTATGGAATGAAGAATTTAAAAGGAATCAAGTAGATTTTGATAAGCCATGAAGTCAATTGACTCCCTTGCTGCTACCTGAATAGAAGTGCTGCTGCCATTGCCAAACAGTTGGTTTTAAACTTTGGGTAGAGCAGGAATCAAAGGGTGGGGGGTGCAACTATATCAGTGCACACCTCCCTGTTGATCCACCCTTGAATTTGCACATCCAAATGTTCTAAAACCACTGCTGGTTTTACTTTGCATGTGCAGAATGATGTAATCCCAACTGTTGGTGTGAGTCTGCTGTGCCCAGAAACTACATTCCACAATGTTTGCATTATCTGAAGACTTCTATTAGCAGGCAATTCCTAGTCATTGGCCATTGGGCTTTTTCTGTATGTCCCATGCTCCATGTCCAAGGATGTCTAGCTTGGCTATGGGTTTTTCCTACTATTGCAAAGATATGCACGGTCTGGTGTATGAGGAGTAAAGAATCCATGCTTGGAAGGTATGGGAAAGGTGTTGGAGGCTGAGTGCAAGCATTCAAAAATGGCAGGGACTGAGAAATGGGCCAAAGTGGGGGTGGGAACACGTGTTGTTGAAGAGGCTGGGCATCCCACAATGCCACTTGCCTGCATCCTCCAATTCATCCGTTCTTTATGCTGCAGAGGTTACTCCCCACTGTGTGTTTTGTGCTCTGCCAGCTCAGCTGCTGCAGCTGGGGATGTGTGCCACTGCCAGAGGCATAGAAGCCTGCATATGCTTCTTGAAAGACTTAGTAGATTCTTAGAAGACTTTATAGGGTGTAACCAATGACTTTAAAGTCTTCTAAGAATCTACTAAGTCTTTCAAGAAGCATATGCAGGCTTCTATGCCTCTGGCAGTGGCACACATCCCCAGTTGCAGCAGTCTTTCAAGAAGCTTCCTCCTCCCTGCCCCTTCTCACTAGTTTCTTTTTTTAAACAATGATTAATGAATCCAATGTATTAAATAACAGATTTGACATTCACAGATGCATTCAATCACCTAAAATATAAAGACATATATTTATCTTCCATCAACAGTACTCTTAACCCACAGAAACTTCTAAGATGGCTGGCATGATAGTAACACTTAAATGTTTGGAAGCATCAGTTCCCCTTTTGCTGAAGCCTTTGCAAGATGGCATTTTTAAATCTAGGTTGTTTATCACTTGCATACATATATTAGTAACAATGTTCTCTCAACAGCTGTCATGCTTCAAGCAAAGGAACTGGAGCAGCAAGTTTCTGTGACTTATTTGGGCCATGTGCAGACATTTATTGGGAGAGCAACAACATCCCCAGGAGAAACCATGTGTTTAGATGTTCACTATTTTTTCTCCCAGAGCAAAAATTGCTGCTCCAAGAGAGAAATTACCAGGGGGCGGGCTCTGAATGCATCTGTTGATGTAAAGTACTTGCTGTAAATAGTTTAAGTAAGATGCCTACATGACCTTTTCACCCTGGTGCAGATGGCACTGTGGGTCTGGCAGCAAGGCCACAGGCTGCTGCCTGCCTGATTCCCAGTCACCTTCGGTTTTATTGCATTGGGTGAGTGTTGTCCCCAGGTTAATGCTATAGTTGTTGCAGGTGTAGCTGTCTGAGCCTCGAGGTGACTAAGCCAGGCTCTGGGAGAGCGGCAGTGGGGGCTGGGAGAGAGTCCCAGGGAGTCTGTGGCAGGAGAGAGCAGGACTGCCACAATAAAAACCACTTGTTTGGAGGCAGAGCCGGCCGTGCTGCTTGGGACACCTGCACTCGGACAGCCCCGCTTTAAAGAAGAGCCCCCCGTTTCCTGGGAGCTGAGCAGGAAGAAGGGGCTCTCGAGGGAGCCGCAGTCTCGGAGCCCGGGAGGAGGCGGCTCGAGGCTGCTGCTTCCAGCTCGGGGACATCCCAGCGCCAGCCCTGCGCCTCCTGGCGCTGGGGCCGGGCGGGAGGGACCGGCGCCGGCCCC